AAGCGCCTAATTATTAACCACGCTATGTTACGATGAACATATGTAACTGAGCATAAAGTTGATTAGACACAAAATTAGGGACATAATTGGTGATAGTTAAATAATCTAGCTTTTGAGTTTGAGAGGCTTATACCATACTCCTCCTAACCATAATACTCCCTCTATTTTTATATATAATAAAAAAAAACTATATTATGCAATTTAAGAAAGTCGATTAATTATAATAATTGTATTGAAAATAAAAATAATGGACTAAAATATTCCTGTTAAGCAATATAAGCATGCATTGGTCATTTAATTGTTTTTCATTGTTGTAAATTATGAGTGATGATTTAGAAATATGTAATAAATATTTATTGAAATGAGTAATTTTGTTTATAAAAAAAAATAAGTCAAAAGTGATAGTTTCTTTAACAATAAAAAACAGAGAGAGTGCAAGAAAAAAAAATTATATTACACAATGTAAGAGAGTTGGTTAACTACAATAATTATTTTAAAAATAAAAAAGTGAACTAAAATGCCTGTGTTAATTAATATAAGCATGTATTAATTATTTTAAGTTAAGTAAATTATAAGAGGTGATTTAAGAAATGTGTAATAAATACTTGTTAAAAATTGATGATTTTACTTATAAAAAATACAAGTAAAAAGTGATAGTTCTCTAAAAATAAGAAACATAAGAAGTATAAGTTATTGTTAACTTATTTATACTTATAAAAATTATTTAAAATCTTAATTTTAAAATTTTTTCACATATTTTCAATTTAACCTTTAAGTGTAAAAATAAAACATTCAACATATTCAAAATATTCTCATTAATTACTTGATAAAGCAAGAGTGTAATTAAAAAAACTATATAATATCTACCTAATGTCCTGTATTTGGGATTAAGAAAATTTTTCAAAAAAATAACTTATATTATGATAGGGGAGCGTAATGAAATAGTATTAGTGGCATTATTGAAAAGGAGAGAAGCTTCAGAACAAGTGGAGAGAATGATCCACAATCCCCAATAAGTTAATTCTTTTTTTTTTTTTACTTAGAACATCCAATATCCTAAGGCAAACATTTTTCAAGCATATCAGTGATCCCAAACTAATTCAGACGCCACTAAATCCTCCCAATTAAAGGTAAAGTGGCCGGTCAATTGAATCCCTCCAACTTAGTTAAGGGACTAGGTGAGGAACCACCAAGCCACATCATTGTGGTTCAAATAAGTTGATTTTACAGACATCTAGTGGAGCTATATTATAGTGATTCTAATCATAAAAGTCATGTCATCCTTATAATAACTTGCCAATGTCACCACTGGCCAAATTTTCGGGACTGTTAGGCAATTTATTCTAAAAATAGAAAACAAGATAATAAAAAAATTATTTGGCAATGTGTTTTTAAAAATATTTTAAAAAAATAAAAAATGAAATATTATTTTAAAAAATAGAAAAATAAAAATATCTTTTCAGTGTTATGAAATTATTAGTTTGAAGAACAAATAAAGGTGAGAAAATTAAAACATTCATTTTTATTATTTTTTATTTTCAAAACATATTTTACAAAATATCAATTCTCATAATAATAAAATAAAAATAATAAAATAAAAATAATTTTAAACAGCCCTTCATCTCCGCTTTCCCTTGATTTTTAGTTTATCCTCCTCCTCCTTTAAAGCCAAAAAAAGAAACGAGGGTTTTATTTTCATATATATTCGAAACGTCCTTATCGTGAAGATACATCATATAATTATGTTGTGAGGAATGATGCCTGATGGAATATAAAGTGCTCTATTGCGTAAAAGTGCTCCCAAAAAGCTCTCGTTTGAACTTATTTATGGGCAGCCAGCTAGAGTACGCGCTGCAATATATATCATCGCCCAGCTTTATTGGCCTAAGAAATTATTCAATTGTGTGCGTCTAGTATATATTCTACTCAAAGGAAAGTTCATTACAAAACATCAGAAAAGCCCTCTTAACGTGTGTAGTGATTAATTCATTGACTGTCACATGTTACTTGACTACTTCTCTGAGTGCTGCGTATACTTTAATTTAATTTATTTATGTGGGTATTCTGCATATATTCGTATATATAATTCTGCAATATTAGCTTTTTAATTTCCTCTCCTATTGTAAAAAAAGTGTTTGGGTACGGGTGAGTGTATGGTTGGTTTTTTGTCTTTTTTATGGTATTTGTTGCTTCTTCCTTCAATCCGAATTATTGAAAAGGGAATGGGGGGTTCAATTGATGTCAGTAAGGGAAGGATTGCGTATTTAAAGGAATGACAATTTGTACGGTGGTTAATTGTGAATTTACAACTTCTCCTAACAGGCAAAAGGGCACGAGGTTTTTTCAAAACAGATCTTGATGATTTGGGTTAGGGTTGTTTGTTTACTTTCAATTTTATTTTATTTTTTTTGGATTTTTCCAAAGCTGTAACATAATTAGCATATTATGACACTCAAGTGCCCAAGACTTTTTAAGGTACTTCCAAAAACCTCCAGCTTTTTCATTTTTCTTTTCCCTCGCGTCCCCACTCAGCTCTGCTATTATAATGCTTTGCTTTCGTTATTAATTATGTGTTTTGCCACCAAATATTAAGATATTAAGGAGATGGGTGTGGATGGATCCTAAAAAAGTTTCATCATGCTTAATTTGGCTCTCTTCAATTTGATTAATTAATCTCAAAATCTTTATTAATTAACAATGTCAACCCCTCCACCAGTTTATGATTACACGACATGATAAGACAGGAATGCACGCGAGACTAGGACTTCCAGCATCATATACATTTAATCTATAATTATAGGCATAATTACAAGCTTCGCCCACTGAACAGCAATTTAAAATACATTTGGTGGGTACTTTATTTTCAAAGCATTTTAGACAGGTCCTTATTGATCAGCTGCTACTCCTTCGACCCGGCTTCAATAAGCTTAATTACGCCGCTATCCTTTTCATCAGGTTAACATGATTCGTAAAAAAGTAATATCTTGAAATTAATTATAAGCTGACTCGATCGTGTGCAGTGTTTAATTGAGAAATAATGACGAAGCGTTATTACATGATCTCAAATCTCTTACAGGAAAAATATGAAATTAAAATATTTGATTTGTGCCCCGGACGAATTTTGACGTCACCAAGGCATGGCATGCCAACAGCAATTGATTAAAAAACATCAAATAAAAATATTGTTATTGATTAAGCATAAGTAGGGATATAATCATATATCATCCACTGAATTCAAGATAAATGCTTGATTATATCATATCCACAAACCATAGAAAAACGACAATTAGGGGAGGGTGGCGATCGATTTAATTTAAAGCACATGATATATGCACTTAGCATTTCATTGCTGAATTATATATATTTTCCAACGAACGAAACTAATCCCAGATCCCTTAATTATTTTATATTATTATTAAATTAAAATAAAATATAAACTACACTGGTATATGGAATGATAAAAAGTGAGAGCACTAAATTATTTTGTTGTTGAAATTTAAAAAATAGACACAAAATCATTGTAATTGAGATTGTGTGTGTGTGTGTGTACATACAAGCATGCGCTTGGCAGATCTTTGTGGAGGCCAGGCACTAACGCATCATCATCATATGTATCTGCGACCTATTGTGAAATTTGAATAATCATTTTAATATATATATATATATTGAAAGGTGATTGAAGTGATAGGATTGAAGAATAATGGTGCCCTAATATATTAACGTTAAAACACATTCTTATGTCTTTAATTAGACCGCCTTAGAGAGCAGCGGTTAACTAAATTCTAGGCGGTAGGTTGGGTTTTGGAAGTCATATCTGATGGGCCCATCTATAAGCGCAACTTTTTAAGCAGCGATACTAAAAGTGGATTAAATATTTAAATAACTTGGGAAGAGGATCACAAAGCCTAGTAGACTAGGTTTATTTTCGGACCAGTTCCCATTTCATGGGACTTCAAACATGGATTCTACTTTTTCATTTCGATCTTTATTGTTTAATTTAAAACAACACTCACCTTTTTCTATAATATAAAAAAAATTAAAGTTCGAATTATTTTTTTCTTTAAAACGTAATTAACTACGAATGTCCTGTATAATGGATTTAGTAATCG